TAGCATCTACAAAGGTAATTGCTATAGGCAAGTGAATTCAAATATGTTAATTGTAGTATGCAGGGACTGTGGAGAAAGGTTGCCTGGAGTAGATAGTTGTCTGGAGAATTCTGGGAGTTGAAGTCCACAAGTCTTAAAGTTGCCAAGTTTGGAGACCTCTGCTTCCAATTTTGAGAAAAAAATAAAAAATTAAGGGTGTTTTGAAGGGCTTCCAGCTACATAAAAAAAATAATCTTGAATTAGATTGAAATCTTCAGCAGAGAAACAATGATGAAATATTTCAGGGCTTTTTTTTTTTTTTAATGGGGGCGATAAAAATTAATCAGTTCAGATGGCAGTCCTATCCAAATGTATGGAATTTATTTTCAAGCAAACCTGTGTAACATTTAATGAAGTAGCTACCGGTTCTCTTTCTCTCTCTCTTTAAAAACAGGAAAGACTCCTAAAGGAGACACGTGTTATACAGCAAGCAAAACCAAGTTAGAACCAACAGCATGCGAGACAAATTACACCCAAATAGGTCTGGTAAGCAGTTAGATTTATCAGTTACATACTTGACCAACTTTAAGTGCTTTTTAAGCACTTAATTACAAGCTTTACACATTTTCATGAAGACAAAATAATGCAAACTGCATAGAACAGGGGTCTTCAAACTTGACTTTAAGACTTGTGGACTTCAACTCCCAGAATTCCTCCTCCAGTCCTGCTAGCTCAGGAATTCTGGGAGTTGAGGTCCACAAGTCTTAAAGTCAAGTTTGAAGACCCTTGACATAGAACATAGAATAATAGGGTTGGAAGGAATCATGGAGGTTTTCTGGTCCAATCTCCTGCTCAAACAGGAGACCCTATACCAAGGGTCTTCAAACTTAGAAAGTTTAAGACTTGTGGACTTCAACTCCCAGAATTCCTGAGCTAACATGACTGGAGGAGGAATTCTGGGAGTTGAAGTCCACAAGTCTTAAAGCTATCAAGTTTGAAAGACCCTTCTCCCTCTCCCTCTCCCTCTCCCTCTCTCTCTCTTATCTATCTATCTATCTATCTATCTATCTATCTATCTATCTATCTATCTATCTATCTATCTATCTATCTATTATCTATCTATCTATCTATCTATCTATCTATCTATCTATCTATCTATCTATTATCTATCTATCTATCTATCTATCTATCTATCTATCTATCTATCATCTATCATCTATCTATCTATCATCTAAAGGGTCTTCAAACTTGGCAAGTGTTAAGACTTGTGAACTTTTTATTAACCAAGCCCACATTGCTTTTCTACCAAATCCAGCTTTCAAGAAACGTGTATTTGTAAACGTATTAATGTAATCTCAAAAGGTGCATTTTCAAGAGGCAACTGGACTTTTTGGTTTTTCTCTCAAGATGTTTCGCTTCTCATCCAAGAAGTTTCTTCAGAAGGATGGATTTAGAGCTGAAGAAGCTTTGTCAGGGCTCCGGTAGTTACCCCCATTTAAATCATGAGTCTCTAGCTGGATTTTCAAAGCTTAAAGAAGATTTATTAGGAGTAGACATGCCAGCGCTGCCTGGGTGTAGCCAATTCTGAGACACATCATTCATTGTCACCCTTGACCCTGGTTTTCTCCCACCCCTCTGGGTGTATCATACTTCATATTCTCCAATGGGACACATCCATAGCCAAGAGTCATTCATACTCTCCAGTTATAATTTTGCACGGCAGAAACTTCGCTCACCTGGAAACTATCTATGAAAACATTTATGGAATGCAGTTTCGGTTTGCAAGTTGCTGCACTGCTCCCCCTTCCTTTTCTGTTGGCAACTCTAAAAGACCAGAGAAATATTTTATGAGTTGACAAGCTTCTTGGATGTAAAGTGAAATGTCTTCAAAAGAAAAAACAAGAAAGTCCAGTTGTGTCATGCCCTTGGTAGAGTTGAACTCTGAGGGAGAGGAGGAACAGCCGACAGGGAGTGGAGGTGTGGCTCCAGAGGTTGTGGAGGAGGCTGGGGAAGGGTAGAGGCTGTCTGGGCAGTCAGAGGAAGAACCAGGTCCATCCCCTCTGCATCCTAGGGCACGCAAGGAGGAACGGAGAAGGAAACAACTTGGCTTACGAGAGAGGAAGTGGCCATGATCCCTCTTATTAGTTGCAGCTGGGGAGAATAGTATATAAGAGTGACGATTACAACACAGTGTTGCCAGAAGCAAAGTGTGTTTTATTTTGGGCTGAAGTTATCTTGGTTGGCGTCCTTCCAACAGACTGTGCCTTGTTATCTCCTTGAAGTTGGTAATTACTTATCCTGGTCCGTTGTGGAATTTCCTTCATTGTAGTTTGCTTTGGGCTTTTTATTTCACCTCTATCTGCTCATTAAGTTCGGACTGTATTGCTTTCTTTTAAAGACTATTTTTGAGTAAGTTTTATCTCCAGCTGAGAATTATTGAACAGTGGGGCCAAGTTGGAGGCATTAAAGGACATTTATGTGCGTTTTGGATTTTGTTACGTTTGTTACACTCCAGGTCATCACAAGTTGCTTCTTGAAAAATCACCTTTGGGACAACCATGACCTGGATAACTGAGAATCTCCATAATGTTAATGTAATATTAATAAGTATTGTTTAGAATGTATTAATTAAAACACATATATTAGAAGTAATGGTGTTCATAAAATTGGTCTACTTCATCCAAAAGCTGAGTCTATAAAGGTTGAAATATATTTGGTTTATCACTGCAGTCTCTACCAGAGCCTAAAACCTTAGTCCAAAAACAGAGGGAGGTGCCAACTGTAATTTCTCAAGAAAATACATCTCTGACTCACAAATTCAAGAAAGGAAACATAGGACTGCCAAATCCTAAGGTGAGAATTCAGATTAAACTACCCTCCTATTCTTTAAATGAGAAATATTCAGGAAACCGGTAGTTTTCATGTGATGGTTTTCTTTTTCTCCATAAATACGATATTTCAATTTAGAGAAATCTGTATCATTGTCAGAACAAGAGCCTCTCCTCTGCATATAAAAAATATTTTTGTTTAGATACAGGTAGTTCTTAGGTACAGGTAGTTTGTACAGGTTATTCGTTGCTGTTCATTTAGCGACCATTTGAAATTACAACAGCACTGAAAAAGGCGATTTTATGACTTTTCTTGCCTCTGTTATTAAGTGAATCACTGCAGCGGACAAGTTGACCACCTGGTTGTTAAGTGAATCTGGCTTCCCCATTGGCTTCACTTGTCAGGAGGTCACAAAAAGGGATCAGATGACGAGGGGGACGCTGTCACCGTCATAAACATGAGTCAGTTGCCAAGCGTCTGAATTTTGATTAGGTGACCACGGGTATGTTGTAACGGTTGTAAGTGTGGAAAAAATGGTCATACATTACTTTTTTCAGTGCTGTTGTAAATTCCCAATGGTCATTCAATGGATGTTGTAAGTCAGAGTCTTCCTGTAATAGATTTGAGATACAATAGTCCAGGGTTACATCCAGGGTTGGGCTTCAAAAATTTTAGCAATAGGTTCTCTGCCCAGTTGCTGAGTGGGCATGGCCATGGTGGGCGTGGCCTAGTCGGCCTCCTACACCACAGTGGGGAGTGTGTTTTTGCCCTCCCCGGGCTCCGGAGGCTTTCCTCTAGCTTCTAGGAGGGCAAAAATGGCCTCCCCGGACTCCAGAGGCTCTCTGGAAGCCAGAAACGGGTCCATTTCCAGCCTTCCCGAACTTCTGGGAGGCCCGTTTTTCATCCTCCCCGAGCCTCGGCACGTGCACTCACTTACCTGCATCCAAAATGGGCCGTGTGGGGACTCCTGGGAGGGGAGAGGAAGGGAGGGGTGGGCAGGGCCAGCCAGGAGTGGGATTTGGGGGTTCTCCAAACTGCACAGAATCTTAGCTAGGGGCTCTCCCAAACCCCTGCAAACCCCCAGCAGCCCACTTCTGGTTATATCCTTTGCATGTGGAATCCAGCAAGCCTTCCAGTGAGCCTCTTCAAGAATAATTTGGGGCCTGAGGTAACTTTCCCTGTTTTCTTTCTCTTCTTTTGCAAATTTGGATGACAACTCCTTAGTTGGTTCCTTCCATTTTTTAGTATTTATTTGATTTGTCAATCGCTTACAAGATACAGGTATAAGAATAAATATAGTTTTGAATACATGAAATGGATACATGTAAGAAAAATAAAAAGAAACAATAGGACAGGGACGGTAGGCACAGTGGTGCACTTATGCACATCCCCTACAGGCCTCTTAGAAAGCGGGTGAGGTCAATAGTAGACAGTCTAAGGTTAAAGTTTTTGGGGTTTGGGGAAGAAACCACAGAGTATTCCAAACATTGACCGCTCTGTTGCTGAAGTCGTATTTTCTGCAGTCAAGTTTGGTGCAGTTAACCTTGAGTTTGTATCTATTGTTTGCTCTTGTGTTGTTATGATTGAAACTGAAGTATTCATTTGCAGGTAGGACATTGCAATGTATGATTTTATATACTATATTGATACTTTTGAACAGCAAACATCCCGCCTCCTGTTGGGATATGAATTTGAATCCCTCCCTTCAGACCTACGTCGAAGCTCTTACGCGAGAAACGTTGAACTGGATTTCTTAGGAGTATTTTTTTAAAAAATCATAAAACACAAAAATATCCTATTACTAATTTGGGTGCCTCTCATGAGCATAACTGTACTAGGCGCCGAAGTCACGAGGGTATAATTTTCCATGCTAACTTTGCCGTTGTTCTCCATTTTTCCCAGATAGAAGCACTGACTCGGCCTAAATTGTCATCTCAGGAGAGTGGCCGCCGTGGAGCCAACAGAATTTTCCGACAGGTATTCTGTGCAGGAGTGTGTTGGCAACAGAAGCCTCCCTGTGATGGCTTCCAATTAAGATCATCTTAATGGAGTGTTTCAAGCAGGGTGTCTTCAAACTTGCCCCCCTTGAGGACTTGTGGACTTCAGCTCCCAGAATCCCTCAGCCAGCTGGCTGAGGGATTCTGGGAGTTGAAGTCCACAAGTCTTCAAGGGCTCAAGTTTGCAGACATCCTGCTTTAAAGCCAGTGGTGGGATTCAAAAATGTTTATTACCGATTCTGTGGGCGTGGCTTGGTGGGCGTGGCTTGGTGGGCGTGGTATGGCTTGTGGGCATGGTGTTTCTTGGTGGGTGTGGCTTGGTGGGCGTGGCAGAAGAAGGATACTGCACAATCCCCATTCCCTTCCCATTCCTGGGGGAAGGTTACTGCAAAATCCCCATTCCCTTCCCACCCCACTAACCTGCTTTCCAGCTCCGTTCTCCTGTGCAGGGCAACCAAAGAAGATCCAGCCGATCAGCTGGGACTCAATGGGAGGCAGAGAATAGATGGGGGCGGGGCCAGTCAGAGGTGGGATTTTTCGGTTCTCCGAACTACTCAGAATTTACCGGTTCTCCTGCTGAATACCACAGTGTTTAAAGCAGTGTTAGTTTGGAGACGCCTGCTTTAAAGCAATAGTTTGAAGCATCTCAACTATTAAGCTGTATGGACTTCAACTCCCAGAATTCACCTTTTGCCCAACTCACCGATAAAGTGAGATGGCTGTCAGGACTCCAACATGCACCCCCATTCAAATCATAAGTCTCTAGCCACATCTCTCAGAGTAAAAAAGTTTGATTTATTAGGAGTTGATATGTCGGCGTTTCCCGGTTGCAGCCAACTCTGACACATCATTCATTTCACCCTTGACCCTGGTCTTCCCCCCACCCTCTGGATGTATGTTCTCCAATGAGACACATCCGTAGCCAAGAGTCATCAATCATGCTCTCCAGTAATAATTTTGTGCGCCAGAAACTTCGGCTGCCAAGGCAATTATCTGAAGCATTTAAGGAATGCACTGCTTTCCCCCCTTCATTTCTGCTGGCAACTAAAAAGACCAAATAAGTATTTTTTAGTTGACAATGATTTTTTCTCAACCTTATGGAAAATCCAAGAGATGAAAGGCCATTGCTTCTTTTCCACCTCCAGCCTTGCTTGGCCATTTACAGGTAGGTCCTTGACTTCCAACCACAAAGGAGCCCAACGTTTATGTGGTTAAGTGAAATGGTTGTTATAAGTGAGTTTTGCCTCCATTTTATGACCTTTCTTGCCACGGTTGCTAAGTGAATCACTGCAGTTTTTGAGTTAGTAACACAGTTGTTAAATGGATCTGGATTCCCCATTGACTTTGCTTGTCAGAAGGTCCCCAAAATGGATCCCATGACTCCGGGATATTGCAAGGGTCATAAACATGAGTCAGTGGACCAACGTCTGAATTTTGATCACGTGACCACAGAGATGTTGCAAACATCGTAAGTGTGAGAAACGGTCACACGTCACTTTTTTCAAGTTGCTATTGTAACTTTGGTCACTAAATGAACTGTTGTAAATTGAGGACTATCTGCTTAGGAGTCCAAAGAGATGGCCAACTGCTGGGACCATAGAAAACTGTCTGGTCTCTTGACCAGAGAACCTTTTGTGTGGTTTTCTAAACCTTCTACAAAAATGTGCATATAATATATTATGAAAGCCAACCGCTGGGATTAACTCTTTTAATGACCCCATAATCCCTCTGAGCAACTGAATGGAGCTAGCAGAGTGTTTTAATGGCCGGATGCCCTTCCCAATGCGGAGTTATATTCAGCAGATATATTCTCATCGTGCCCAGAGAGAGAAATATCAGCCTCTACCTAGGATCGAACTCACAGCCTCCTGATTGTGAGACGAGAGCTGTACCTCTCTAGGCCATCACACCACTCTGGAATTAACTCTGTATTTCTTCCTCAGAAATTAAATAGCAACATCAATGCCCTCCCTCACCTGGACTGTCCAGCCAAACCAAGTTTGATGACAACTGCTTTGAAGTCTCTTCAGCAAAACGCACTTTTCCCACAAATAGCCACCAAGAACTTTCAGTCTATGACAAATCTGCATTCGGTAAGTTTTCTCTGTGGTGAACTGAGGCCCTAAAAGTAAGGGAATAAAAATATCAAGCTCAGGAAAACAGGAGTCTGGGCAGTTGAAATGTACACAGGTTTATTGTTTTTTAACGCTCTCTATAAGAATCCAAACCACTAACTGTCAACGTGAATTGACGGTAGATAAAGGTCAATGGAATTCATGGTAGGCTGGACTTAGTTCTCTGGTGGGTGTGAAGGGATTTAAGACCAATTACATAATAAGAGGAAATTGGCATTGTCGAAAGCGCGGGTTTAAAGGGATGTGGTGGTTCAGGGGCTAAGACTCTGAGCTTGTCCATCAGAAAGGTCGGCAGTTTGGCAGTCCGAATCCCTAGTGCTGCGTAACGGAGTGAGCTCCTGTTACTTGTCCCAGCTTCTGCCAACCTAGCAGTTCGAAAGGATGTAAAAATGCAAGTAGAAAAATAGGGACCACCTTTGGTGGGAAGGTAACAGCGTTCCGTGCGCCTTTCGGTGTTTAGTCATGCCGGCCACGTGACCACGGAGACTTCTTTGGACAGCGCTGGCTCTTCGGCTTTGTAACGGAGATGAGTGCTGCCCCCTAGAGCCGGAAATGACTAGCATGCATGTACGAGGGGAACCTTTACTTTTACCTTTAAAGCACGGGTGTCAAACTCGTGGTGTCATATTGCCATCATGTGACATTCTGTGATGTTTTTCCCCTTCGCGGAGCTGTGGTGGACGTGGCCTGCATTATGACGCATCCAGCCCGCGGGCCGCCAGTTTGACACCCCTGGTCTAAAGGGACAATATTTTGGCCATATCATAGGGAGGGGGGAATTCACTGGAGAAAGCCATTATGCTTGGAAGAGTTAGCGGTAAAAGGCCACCAGAGAATATGGTGGCTGGATACCATCAAAGCGGATGCCAGCCAGATCATGGAGCAACTTGAAGATGTTGTACAAGATTGGAAGATGCGAAGACATCTGGCCCACAGAATCGCCAAGAATCGGACACGACTGAATGGATAACATTATCATCATCATCTTCCTCATCATCAAAGGGACAAGTTGTGGTATGAGAAAGGAAGGTGAGCTGAGCTGATTCCCAACATGGAAACTTGTATTTCTAATAATGAACCCGATGATTGGTTAGCTTTGTTACAGAGAGTAACCTGGCCCAGCAAGAGAAAGGGGTTGCACTGGTGGGGGGGGGGAGCACCAAACCATGGAGGTCTGGTCCCTTCTGGGCCATTTAGAAGATCTAAAGACAGCGCAGTTAGGAGGGTGAAGGAGAAACAGGGCATAAACTCTAAAACTTTCATGGTGAACCTATGGCACATGTGCCACAGGTGGCACTCAGAGCTATTTGTGCAGACACGTGAGCCCCAGTCAAACTTACCTGCACTGCGCAGGCACACGCCTCCCAGCTGATTTTCACCCCGTTTGAGGCCGTTTTCGCCCTCCCGGAAGCTCGAGGGAAGTGCCAGAAGTGCAGAAACGGGCCCATTTTCGGCCTCCTGAGGCTCCGAAGGCTTCCCTTGAGCCTTCAGGAGGGCGAAAACGGTCTCCCCTGGGCTCCAGAGGCTGAAAACAGGCACTTCTGGTATTTCTAGAAGGCCCGTTTTTTGGCCTCCCGAGGCTGCACAGGCTTCCTTCGGGCCTCCAGAAGAGCGAAAACAGCCTCAAACGGGCCAAAAATCAGCTGGAAGGCACATGCATGCACAGTTCAGGTAAGGGGGCAGGGGTGTTGCACATGCATGCGCGGGGGCCCCCGGGGCGCATAGCATTATGCTTTTGGCACACCGCAACAAAAAGGTTCACCATCACTGCTCTAAAATGATAAAAGTACATTTTTAAAACTCCTGATTCTTGTCCAACTTTAATTTTGCAACAAAACAGGGAAGGCCCAGCAAATGCACCCTTTATTGATTTTGATGCTACGTTTTTTAATCCTGGCGATATTTTCCCCCCTGAAAGTTGGTTTTGAGCAGAGTGATTAATAAATCACAGAAATCATGAAGGGGCTTTAAGGAAAAAGAAACAAACCTCTTGCAACTTTGCAGGATAACCGATCTCAAGTCCAACCGTTTCCTCCCACCGACTCTGAAAACATCCCCAGAGGGCTGAGCAGTAAATCTGGAGACACCGAGAAGACTCACAATCTCAAGTTCCCACTGACTTCAGCAGGTACGGTCCTAGTATAAATGGAAAAGCTAAAGGAAGCTAAAGGAAAAACAGCAGAGAAACCATCCAATTTCTGTACAATGCCACCTTTCCCTCCAAGTGGGATGATTATAATATTATCATGGAAAACCAAGAAAATATCATTTAAAAGCAACTGGCTGTAGAGGGGAATCGTATCTCCTTTCCTAAAAGCCCAGTTGGAGGTTTCCTTCAGTCCCCCTAGAGAACCATCTTTCAAGTTTATTTAAGGCCTAAAAATACAGATTTTAAAGTTCAGAAAACTAACCCGAGAAACAGAAGTTTTGATAAGCAGGGTATTTAGGATTTTGAAGGCTAGAACCAACCACTTTAAATCCTGAAGGCTAGAACTAACCACTTTAAATAGCAATAGCAATAGCCCTTAGACTTATATACCCCTTCACAGTGCTTTACAGCCTTTTCTAAGCAGTTTACAGAGTCAGTCTCTTGCCCCCAGCAATCTGGGTCCCCATTTGACCCACCTTGGAAGGATGGAAGGCTGAGTCAACCTTGAGCCTGGTGGGATTTGAACTGCCAAATTGTAGGCAGCCAATAGTCAGCAGAAGTAGCCTGCAGTACTGCACTCTAACCACTGTGCCACAGAGGCTCATTACTTATTTATATAATTATTTATATTATTTATACCTTCAGTATAAATCCTGAAGGTCAGAACCAACCACTTTAAACCCTGAAGATCAGAACTGAAGGTCAGAACCAACCACTTTAAACCCTGAAGGTCAGAACCAACCACTTTATAAACCTTGAAGGTCAGAACCAACCACTTTAAACCTCTGCAAAGTTCAAGCAGCATTAGTCTAAAACTGAGCAGAGACTCCATGACCATGAGGGTGGGGAACCATGGGTCCTCCACTCTCAGAACACCCGTTTTATTCTAGCAGAGAACCAAATTAAAATGTGTTCTTCTGCAATATCTGGGGGCGAAGATGAAATTAGGTAAGTTCAGGGTTGCCAAGATACGTGCTGGAATCTCCAACCGATGACTTAGCAAACTCCTCAGGACGAACCCTCCCCCCCTCCCCCCGCAACCTTCCTAGAGTGACCCAACCCAACCCTATTCTGCCAATGGCCCTAATGGGACAAACTTATCTAACGTCTTTACATTGCAGCAGCTTCTCGAAAGTAGTGTGTAGGCATCTGTGCAGCTGTGATGTAAACAGTGTTCACCTTCCTTGAAAACTCTGCCATTATTTTTTTTCCTTGAAGTTATATGTACACTAAATTATGTAGGGGTAGTCCTTGACTTACAATCACAGCCGAGGTCGAAATTTCTGTTGCTGAGTGAGACAGTTGTTAAGTAAACTTTTCTCCGTTTGTTGACTTTTCTTGCTACAGTGAATCACTGTCATTGTTAAGTTAGTAACACATTGTTTAGAATAGGAATAGGAATAGAGTAGAGTAGAGTAGAACAGAATAGAACAGAACAGAACAGAACAGAATAAGAATAGGAATAGGAATAGGAGTAGAGTAGGAATAAGAATAGGAATAAGAATAGGAATAAGAATAGGAATAAGAATAGGAATAGAGTAGAATAGGAATAGGAGTAGAGTAGAGTAGAGTAGAGTAGAGTAGAGTAGAGTAGGAATAGGAATAGGAATAGGAATAGGAGTAGAGTAGATTAGGAGTAGGCGTAGGAATAGGAATAGAGTAGAGTAGAGTAGGAATAGGAATAGGAATATGAATAGGGTAGGGTAGGGTAGAGTAGAACAGAACAGAACAGAACAGCAGAGTTGGAAGGGACCTTGGAGATCTTCTACTCCAACCCCCTGCTCAGGCAGGAAATCCTACACCACTTCAGACAAAGGGTTGTCCAATCTCTTCTTAAAAACTTCCAGTGTTGGAGCATTCACAACTTCTGGAGGCAAGTTGTTTCACTGGTTAATTGTTCTCACTGTCAGAAAATTTCTCCTTAGTTCCAGGTTGCTTCTCTCCTTGATTACTTTCCATCCATGGTTTCTGGTTTCCATGTGTCAGGTTTCCAAGTGATGAAATCCATTTAAAAAGGAAAAAAAAAACAAATCATATCAATTTCTTTTATTTAGGAAAGCATCAAATTGGCAAAGTTTGTTGTAATTCCCAATTTGACACAACCCGAAATTACACCACATAATATTGGAAATTAGAAACAGCCCCCAAAAGTCACATTCCCCAATAGAAATAAATAAATGTTGCCTGGTGTCATCAATCTCCACCTCCAGGTCTCAGCAGGGTCAGCTTTCGTTCCCACGGGAAGGAGAGCCACCTAGCCTAAACAACTCTCTCTATCTCCACTCCTCCCAGCTTAGGAATGTGGCAAGCCCGAAACCCTTCCCCCCATAACCAGCAAAGAGAAAGAAAGAAAAGGAATATATAATAAGGCTAAATAAAACAGCTTTGCATATGTCAATTTCGGGCTTGACAGTCCTGCCCTCAGGTGTTTTGGAGAATAGCTTGACTCCCTCTTCTTTGGGGCATCCCCTGAGATATTGGAACACTGCTATCATGTCTCCCCTAATCCTTCTTTTCATCAGATTAGACATACTCAATTCCTGTAACCATTCTTCATATGTTTTATCCTCCAGTCCCCTAATCATCTTTGTTGCTCTTCTCTGCACTTTTTTTAGAGTCTTGTGATGACCCAGGGTGTGGCACAAAAGCAACAAAGTCACAAAAGTAGGTAAAGTTCCTTTAATTCCTCCAACTTTGCCCCCAATGTCCAGTTATATATCAGCTGGAGAAAAAACTCTCCCAAGAACAGTCTTTAAAGGAAAGAAATTCAGTCCGAACCCAAAGTACATATAAATTATAAATAAAAACCAACACAAACCACGCTGCAGCAATTAACGAGACAGGGCAGGATAAGGAATTGCAGAACTCAAAAGATAACAAAAACACACAGTTGGGAGGACACCAGAACCCAGATAAGACTTGACAAACAAAGATAATTCACACTTTGCTTCCAGCAAGGTGCTGTACACAAACACCCTTTTAAAATCCTGTGTTCCCAGCTGTAGCTAATGAAGGGAATCAGGGCCCTTTTCTCCCCCATAACCCCTGTAACTCACATTGCTCCCTTCTCCACTCTGCCCTGCGTGCCCTAGGATGAAGAGGGAGTGGGCCTGGATCTTCCTCCAAATTCCCTCTCTCTTGCGGTACCTCTCCATTGCTCTGCCCAGCCGGACTGTGCCCTTCCCCAGTTTCTTCCACAGCCACTCTACTGTTGTAAGTCAAGGACTACCTGTACAAGCTATGAAAAATACATAAAAGAACGAAAAGTGTGGGGGAGTGAATCTACATGTAGAAATTACTTCCTCTTCATCGAGACTAGTACAAACAATTTTAGTCATTTATCACATTCTCTCATATTTCAACTAAAAATCCCCTTATCCTAGGTCTCATCCCCATTTGTTATATAGGAAGCATCATTAACAGAATAATTCTGGAGTTATCCTGGAGATGGAAGGGAGTTCCAACCAAGTTGGACGGGACCTTAGAGGTCTTCTAGTCCAACCCCCTGCTCCAGGAGGAAACCCTACACCATTTCAGAAACTGTGGTGATACGTTTGAGGTCAGGGGATGCGAAACAGGAACAGTTTACATGTTAAATATTGTGTTATGCCCCTGTCGGAATCTAATTCCGAGGGGGAGGCCGAGCAGCTGACAGGGAGAGGGAGTGTGGCTCCATTGGCTGTGGAGGAAACTGGGGAAGGGCAAAGTTCGGCTGGGCAGAGCAAGGGAGAGAGGTAGAGCAAGGGAGAGGGAATTCGGAGGAAGATCCAGGCCCACTCACCTTCATCCTAGGGCACACAGGAAGGAACGGAGAAGGGAGCAACGTGGGTTGCATGGCTTATGGGGGACGAAAGGGCCCTGATTCCCTGCAGCTGGAAACACAGGGTATAAAACAGGAAGCTGCGCGCAGCAAACATGAATTTATCTTGTATCGTTGTGGCTTATCTGTGTTCCCTTCCCTACTGTGTGAGTTTTGCCATGCTTTCAAGTCTGAAATTCCTGCTCCTGCCCTGTCAAGCTAATTACTTCAGCTTGGTTTGTTTGGATTTTTAAGTTACAGTTTGTGCATACCTTGTTTTGGACTGAATTGTCTACAGTTAAAAGCTGTTCCTAGGTGAGTTTTTCTCCAGCTGAAGGTAACCTGGACATTGGGGGAAAAGTTAGAGATAATAAAGGGACTCTTCTTGCTTATTTGACTGTGTTGCCTTTCTGCCATGCCCATATTGATTTAGATGTCTTCTGGGTCTTTTAATATCCCTTTGACTTCCTTCACAAACCAGAAGCCTTGAAACATTTTAAAAACCAACTCACCCTCTATGAACAACGAGAAATCAAGGACTATAAAGAGCTGTGGTTTCTTGGCCTGGGCGCAAAGAAGATTGAGGGCTACATTGATGGACAGAACAGCAGCACTTACGATGATGACCACGGTTCCTATAAAAAGGTAAGAAGAGGTTGATGTGGTGGTAGATCTTGGCATCCAGATCATAGCAGAACACTCACGGGGCCAAATCTCTGCAGCTGGAATTGGGCAGGAGATGCCCAAGGTGATCTGTGTGGTCTTAAGCCTCACAGGAACTGGGTATGTCTAGTTGCAATGTCTGTCTCCCTTGGATGGTTTTCCAGATACCTCCTTAGAGGTCAGCTTGGAGGAGGAGGAGCCAATTCCTGGCATGTCAGGAATTGAGTTGATTGATGGCTCTGAATGGCCATCTGGAAGGGAGGCTGCACCTTGTTGTGATCTGCCAGCAGCCAGCGGAGCTGGCAGCAGACTTGGACAGTTGAGGAGGTCAGAGTCTGGGGAAGGCTGTAATGGATGCTCTGCGTCGGAGGCAGAGATGGGGCCAGGGCTGTCTGACAGTTATCAGCTGCCTTCACAGTTGGAGCTCAGTGAGGCAGAAGAACAGCTGGAGCCTGTTCCCAATGTGCACATGCACAGAGCTGCCAGGAGAAGGGAACAGTTAAGGAATAAGGGTCAACTCAGGGATAAAGGCACAAGTGGACGGTGAATGGCCTCTTCCATAGAGAATAAAGAGGAGGGAAAGGGGAGTGGTGTTTGCAGGAGACAATTAGTTTGTTCAATTAGGGTGAAGATTTGTTCCTGACTTCTTGCCAAGTATTTTCTGCTACAGCATTGTGCTTGGAAGATATCGGCCTGGCAACTCTCCAAGCCTGATAAGGTCTGTGATTGTAAATCACCCTTGAAAGACTGTTTGCCGGGACTTTGCTGGATGTGAATGAGAGGAATTCACATTAGCCTAAATAAAAGGGTTTTGTCGGGATGAGGAGTCTGCTTCGTGGTTTTGTGAAGCCTAGGTCAGAACACGCCTGGGGAAAGCTTGCAGTGGCAGACAGCCACCGAAGAGGTGGAGGAACTGCCTTCTGTACTGATCTGAGAACATATAGGGCAGAGAAAAGGGAGCAGCAGAGAAGGTCAGCTAGACTACCCTAGAAGAGAAAGTCCCACTGATCTTGATGGGCTGCACCGGAAGCTGGCTATTTATCAAAGCAGAAGATGGAGACACAACGTGTTTGTTTTGTAGATGTGTGTTTTCTGGTCGTCGCAATTCCTGCTTCACTCTGGATTGATCCTGTGTTTAGAATTGAATCGTGTGCCTTGAAAAGCTTCTGGACTTTTCTTGCCTGGTGGATTTAAGTTTTGTCTGGTGGACTTATTTTATCTGAGCAACTTTCAACAGCTTTGTGGACTATTGGGCCCTTGTCTGTGGACTAACCTAGGTCTGCTCATGGCTGGACTTAATTGGGACAGTTCTGGGTTTTGGTGAAGGGAATTGCTGGGGATTATTAATAAATTCACTAAACCAGAGTTAGTGGGCAGTACACTAGTCTAACCAAGAAAAGAACTAGGGGCGACACGATAGCTGTCTTCCAATACAGTGGTACCTCGGTACTTAGTTGACTCTGGGAGGCATGATGAGCACCAAAAATGATGTGTAGCAAACAATTTTTCCCCCACAAGGAATAATGTAGTGAGTCCCAAGGCAGCCAACATTAATTTGTGCATTGAGTACTGAATAAACGGTGAGTAGTTCAGCGTCAAATGCGTTGAGTACCAAATTCGGTGTGTTTCAAAACAATTGAGTACCAAGGTACCACCTTGTTTGAGGGGCTGTCACCGAGAGGAGTTCCACCTATTTCCCAAAGCACCTGTGGGCAGGATAAGAACTAACAGGTGGAAGATCATGAAAGAAGGCTGGCTCCAACTTAAAACTAAGGAGAAACTTCCTAACAGTGAGAACAATTAACCAGTGGAACAGTTTGCCTTTAAAAGTTGGGGTGCTGCTCCATCCCTGGGACCTAGAATGCCAAATGTATTTTTGCTTTGTGCTTGTTTTGTGAATATGGCATAAGAAGTAGTGGAAACATATACGATGTTTACTTTGTACGTTGTTGTCACTCTGTGTAGGTACTAAGCGATCATATTGCATATAGATACGAAATCCTGGCTATAATTGGGAAAGGATCCTTTGGGCATGTTGTGAAGTGTTTGGACCACAAGACCGGTGAAAAAGTAGCAGTGAAAATAATAAGGAACAAAAAGAGGTATGGTTGTCTGTATTCTTTTTGTTTCATTTTATATTTTGTTAAATAAAATAAATATAATACCAGAAACTACTTGAATAGAGGATTGATTCCTAATTTATTTTTATTTTTATTTATTTTATTTGGTTTGTCAATTGCGTACAAGATAATAGGCATAAGTAAAAACATAGTTATGAACTATAACTATGTTCAATTATGATTGATTATCTGTGGTGGGAGCATTAATTTATAACCAGAAGATTTTTTTTAAAAAAAAATTGGCAGCAAACAAACCATGCGATGCTGCGACAGTTGTGAGTAGGAGAACCAGCTGCAAGTCATTTTTTTCAGTGCCGTTGTCATTTCAGAGTCACTAAACAAATGGTTGTAAGTCAAGGACTACCTGGATGTTAAGTAGGTTAAGGGGTCCAGATCAAAATCCCAGTTGGTGTAATTTTCCCCTTTTATAATCAGGTTCCACAGTCAGGCTTTGGTTGAAGTTGACATCTTAAATTCGCTACGGCAAAAGGACCAAGATAACACATACAACGTCGTCCACATGAAAGAGCATTTTTGCTTCCGTAATCATTTCTGCATCTCCTTTGAATTATTAGGGTAAGGTACTGCTCTGCATCTCCAGTTAATACTTTATACAGTGATTAAATGTGAATTTGCTTGATCTTATTTTCTCAATCTTAGCAGTCCTTAATCTTAACAGGTAGGTACCCGGTTTCCCCCAAAATATGGCCTAACCTGAAAGTAAGTCCTAGCTTGATTTTTACACGTGTGCCCAATGTAAGCCCTACCCCGCCCCCCCAAAAAAAGTTAGTTGCTTATTTGGAGTTTCTGATTGCTCTTTACTTATGAAATAGAGAACCCCAATCTTTCTGAATGGATACAAAATCCCCATTCGTACAGACTATCCTCTTCATGCTTCTGTTTGAAGCTGTTTTCCTATGGCAAAAAGATTGGGGCTGATTTCTCCTTGAAGAAGATATCTTTCCTCTTCTCCTTCAGGGGAAGTATTCTATACTGCCTCTTTTTAATATGAAGAATAAAGAATGTTTTATTCTGCAGGGTGTGTGTGTGTGTGTGTGTGTGTGTGTGTGTGGCTTCCAACAATACGCTGAATGATCTCAGAGACTTCGAACTGAATCACAGTTTTAAAATTCCAAATCATTGAATTTCAGCTGTTTTAGTGCAGGGGTCTCTCCATGTGCGTCTTGGTAAAACTGCTGTTTCTCATCCCGCAGTTTAAATTTATACGAATTAATCAAGAAAAACAACTTCCAAGGTTTTTCTTTGGGTTTGATTCGCCGTTTCACCCATTGCATCTTAAGATGTCTGCAACTCTTATACACGGAAAAAATTATCCACTGTGATCTGAAGCCTGTAAGTACCATCTTTTCAGTACCGGTGACGTTTTCAATCATTTTATGATTTTTATTTATTTTATTTTATTTATTTACTTTGTCAAAAGCTTACAATACAATTAGAAATAAGAATAAATGTAAGTTTAAATACAAGAAATAGGAATTAATAATTGGGGACAATAGGACAGGGACGGTAGGCGTGATTGTGCGCTTATGCACGCCCCTTACAGACCTCTTAGGTATGGGGTGAGGTCAATAGTGGATAGTTTTAGAAATTTAAAACATTTCAGTGTAAGGAAGCACTTTTCAAAACAGATAGGGACTCTAATTTTGTTAGGCATTGTCAATGCTTTGGATATGCATAATGAACTTAAAGCTCAAGATAAATGATTTTTTTTTCTAGTGCCGGTGCCTTGTATGTGTTATTTGTGTTGTGCTTTGTTGTTGTGTTGTGTTTTTGTGCATTGTTGTTACTTAGTTTATTAATGAAAGGTCTGTAGGAAACTACCAAGCTCAGAGAACACCAAGCACCCCACAATTTACAAAATTGTGTTCCTCTTGCTTATCTGAGTCATTCTATTGCTTTATACAAAAAATAACTCCCTAACTACGGTAATGTACTGCACAATGAATTTAATTCCTCCTTTAGGTTGTCCTATATCCTAGAGCAGTGGCCCCTAATGTTTTGGGCACCAGGGATGATTCCATGGAGAGAGGTTTTTCCATGGACCGGAGAGGACGCGGTGTCACATGCTGTCTTGCATCCCACGGATGGGGCTTCGCTTGTTTGCGTGGCTTGGTTTCTAACATGCCACAGATTGGTGCCAGGCAACAAACCAGGGATTGGGGACCCCTCTCCTAGAGTTTTCTATTGTAGCTTATCAATCTTTGACCCTAGAAAGAGAGCATACATACCAGGGGTGGCCTTCAAAAATTTTAGCAAAAGCTTCTCTGCCCGGTGGCTGGGTGGGCATGGCCAAAGTGGCGTGGTCTAGTCAGCCTCCTGCACCATGGTGGGGGGGGGGTGTTTTTGCCCTCCCCCGGGCTCCAGAGGCCCCTCAAGCTTCCGGGAGGACAAAAACGGCCTCCCCAGGCTCCGGAGCTTGTCTGGAAACTGGAAACAGGCCCATTTCTGGCCTTCCCGAACTTCCAGGAGGCCCGTTTTTCACCCTCCCCAAGCCTCTACGTGCAGCCTGCACTTACCTGCATCCAACGGGCGGTGTGGAGACTCCTGAAGGGGAGGGGTGGGCAGAGCCAGCCAGGAGTGGGATTTGGGGGTTCTCCGAACTGCGAGCCCCCAGCAGCCCACCCCGGTACATACCCACAACTGCTTAGGGATGTAATATTTAGTACATATTTTAATTTAAAATGCTAGAGAATTCCTGGAAGCCTGGCACTCCGACAAATCGGCCATCCACAGACACATAGACATAAACAACATCTACCTACTGTGCAAAAGAGACCATCGACAAGCCCAAAAGGGAACAAAGAGACCAAAACACTTCCCCACCAGCAATCAATACTCAGATGAGTGTAGATTAACACCAAGATTAGCACCAAACCAACAATCAAGAAGGGGTCGGGCGAGGGGCTCCAGAACCCAGAGATATGAGCATGAGCCATACAGATCCTGTTCCCAGTTAGAGTTTGGTGACCTGAACAGGAAAAAAAAAACAAGGAAAATGTCAACAGCTTGCTAACCTGATAGATGAAACGTACTGATATTTTCTCCCTTTGTCTTATTTTTTTTTTAATTCTTTAGGAGAACATATTAATAAGCCAGTCTTCAGCTGGACAAATTGCATTCAAAGTTATTGATTTTGGATCGAGCTGCTATGAACATCAAAGAGGTTTGCGGAGTCAAGTAGATATAATTTTCTTTAGTGATTTTTTAAAATACATTGAATTGCATTTTTTTAATTCTATAGATATCAATGAGATGTTTCACAAAATGCTCACAGGACAATCTTGTAGCATTTCCCTCTCTGGGCCATTGTCTTGGAGCTCATACAACGGAGTCCACGCCCAAGTAGCTATTTTTTCTCATAAGTACAGGTAGTCCTCGACCTACGACCACAATTGAGCCCAAAATTTACGTTGTTAAGTGAAACATTTGTTAAGCAGGTTTTGCCCCATTTTACGACCTGTCTTATTAAGTGAATCATTGCAGTTGTTCAGTTAATAACACGGTCGTTAAGTGAATCTGGCTTCCCCATTGACTTTGCAAAAGGGGATCATATGACACCCCCCCGGGGACACAGCGACCGTCATAAATATGAATCCGTTGCCAAGCATCCAAATTTTGATCATGTGACCACGGAGAAGGCTGCAACTGTCGTAAGGGTGAAAAGCAGTCCTAAGACACTTTTTTCCAGGGCTGTTGTAACTTTGAATGGTCACAATAGGAACTGTTGTAAGTCGAGGAGCAGCTGTATATGGATGAAGGAAAAATAAGTGTCTATCCTGGGTTTTTTTTTCAGTGTCTCAGAATCTACATCCTAGATCCTATCTCAGTTGATACCTAACCTTTTCAGTACCGGATACCCAAACTGGAATTCGCGTGCATGCCTGTCTTTTGGGCATTTTGGGGGTCGTTTTCAGGCGGTTTTTCGGGCGGTTTTCAGGCCAAAAAACAGTCTGAAAATGGCCCAAAAAACAGCCTGAAAACAATCCAGAAAATGGCCTGAAAACAGCCTGGAAAACAGCCAGAAAATGGCCCAGAAAGCAGCCTGAAAATGGCCCAAAAAACGGCCTGAAAATGCCTGAAAAATGGCTTGGTTTTTTGCGGTCTCTCGGGCCTTTTTCAGGCACTCCGTTGCCCACAAAGACCAGCTGGCCAGCGTGACAGATACCAGAAGAGCAGCTGGCGATGCCACATGTGCCCACAGAGAGGACTGTGCGTGCCACCTCTGGCACGCGGGCTATAGATTCGACATCATGGTCCTATCTAAATCTTAGCAGATCTTATCAGAGCTCACTCAGTACATTCAGATAGGTATAGGTAGTCCTCAACTTACAACCATTCCTTTAGTGACCGTTCAAAGTTACGACCATCGCAGCATCCCCAAGATCAAAATTCAGACGCTTGGCAACCGGCTCATATTTATGACAGTTGCAGTATCCTGGGGTCACGTGTTCCCCTTTTGCAACCTTCTGACAAGCAAAGTCAATGGGGGAAACAAGATTCACTTAACAACTGGGTTACTCACTTATCAACTGCAGGGATTCACAACCACTGTGGCAAGAAAAGTCATAAGATGAAGCAAAACTCAGTTAGCAACAGAAATGTGGGGCTCGGTTGTGGTTGTAAGTACTCTGGGATTGAGCACTTGTGAATTCTGAATCCAAGGCCTCCTGGATCAGTTTCTGTGTTCAGACGGGTGTTTGGGGGAAGACGGGTGTATCTTGGGATGGAGTTCAGACAAGGATCCCCATTCAAGGAGGACATTCTCCTTCGCAGACGGTTGCTGCAGGGTAGGGCTTCTGGAATTCACTTGGATTTACTACTGGTGGGGTATTTGAAAGATCTCTTCAGGTTCTTTCGCCCAGAAAGACAATGTAGAAGAGCCAGCAGAGCTGAGAGACAGAGTTAAGTGCACCATCAGTTTAGAATTGTTACGTTGCCACAAACGGTCCATGTCTGATTCCTTCTGAATTTAGCATTGAACATTAATTGATTATTCTCATTTTATAGGCTTGAGCAATAAATCCACTGAACTGCAACTTGATGCAGGGTCCGATCCTTTGTGCCTGACGTTAATTTAGCCAGTTGCAATTTAGAAGATGTATTGCTCAGGCCTCTACACAAGAATCTAGTCAGCTAAAGATCAGCACTAAACTGTTACCAGACAAGGATCAATGGAATTCAAGAAGGGATGGATTTGGACCATTTGTGGTGACGTAGATTCTAAGTTGATGACACACTTAACTCCACCCCCAGCTCTGCCTTCTCTTCTCCTACAGATACGGGCTCATAGTCTGTGGCTTAGATCAGAGTTCCCCAATCTTTTCAGCTTCGAGGACTGCAGGGATGGGAGATGGGGTTGTTCCGAGTAAGCACGTGCAGTTTCATTTGCGCAAGCGGCAGGCATGTGTGCCCGCTGCTCGCGCAAATGGAGCATATACGTACACACTCACATGCTGTTCATGCAATTGGGGATGTGCGCACGCATTCATTTGCCACTTCTGCAGCCCGGTTCTGAAGGCTCAATGCCCAGAAGTAGATCACGGCCTGGGGGAGTTGAGGATCTCTGGCTTCGATCAGCAGTTTGGGGCTCATAGGAAGGACTGGCTATTTGTAACAAGGTCAGGGATCTTTGTCAAGCGTCCTCCAAAGCAGTGGTCGCCAACCAGTGGGCTGGGGACCACTGGTAGTCCGTGAGAACATTTTGGTGGTCCGCAAAGAAATGTTACCCCCAAAGCAATTAATCCAGGCTGAGTGGGAACACAAGGCTGCATCACCCACATAGCCTGCGGAAACACAAGGCTTGCATCGCTTGCATTGCGAACATGAGGTAGTGAGGGGAGAGGGGAAAGGGCGGAGGGGAGAAACTTGCCCCACTCACCCCACACACCTCACCTGGCCACCTTCTGGCTGCTTCTTTCTGCTTCTTTCTTCTTCTGCTTTCGGCTGCACTCAAGGAAAGCACAAAAGTCTTTCTTTTTCTCCCCCAAACTCCACCAGAAATGAGTTTTTGGGACCCTGCAAGGCATCCTGCTCCAAGAGGTTGCACTGGTTTGACAAGTCTCACAAAGACTCATTTTTGGCAGAATTTGGGGGAAAGAAAGAAAGACTTCTGCTGCTTCTGCTGCTTTCCTTGCATGAAGCCCAGAGTCTCTCTCTCTCTTTCTTTCTCCCCCCTGAGAACGGAGCTGGAGATGGTATTCTGCGATCCCAAATAAAGAATGATTGATTGGTAGGAAAACGGGGTGGGAAATTTTCCTGCAGACTTTTTGGGGGGATTTTCCCAGGGTCTCTGGTCCGCGGGATTTAAAATTATGAGTTTGGTGGTCTCTGAGGTCCTATTCCAGAGCAAATGAGGAGGTTTGCGAACCAGTTGAGACAGAGGTACAGACATAGGTGCAGGATGGGGTGGAAGTTTGCATGATAGGAATAAGCCATGGAAGCAACTGCTTCAAAATAACAAGCAGAACATTAGATCTATTGGCTTACTGAGTAAAGACTGTCAGGTGGCAGAGAAAATCAGAGAAATGGGAAGCATTTTTGGTGGGGACTGAGCTACCCTCTCTCACAATCTTTTCCTCCAATGTCCATCCTCCCTTTTTTGTTTGCTTTAGTGTACACCTATGTCCAAAGCCGGTTTTATCGTTCTCCAGAAGTCATTCTGGGCCACCCGTACACAACCTCAATCGATATGTGGAGCTTGGGTTGCATCATAGTTGAGCTCTACACGGGGTGCCCCCTTTTCCCAGGGGAAAATGAAGTGGAGCAGCTTGCCTGCATTATGGAGGTACCTTTTGTTACATCCCTAAAGTGGTCGGTGAAATGAGGAGCCAGATTGATGGGGGAAGTCTACCAACTCTTTGAACCGCTTAGAGAGGGCTGTAAAGTACTAAGGTATGTAGTGGCATATAAGTCTAAGACAGTGCTACTGCTATTTAAGCCGTGAAGGCAAAGTACTTAGACTGCAGTATTGTAGGCTGACTCTGCCCACTGCCAGGAGTTCGATTCTGACCAGCTCAGGGTTGACTCAGCCTTCCATCCTTACAAGGTCAGTAAAATGAGGACCCAGTGTGATGACTGAGGGTGGGGTACAAAATAAACACAGTCACAAAAAACAGATGAAGCCCCTTTTATTCCTTCACTTTGCTTCAAAGCTCCAAATATCCTTGACTGGAGACAAAAAAACGGAGTCAGCACATAACTCTCAGATGGCTCTGGCCGAGTGGTGGTATTTTACCAGTTCGGTCCGGTTCTGCCAAGCCGGTAGCACTGATGAGCAGCGAAGACCGGACCAGTTCTCTCCAATTGGGCCCACCTGCTCACCCGATTTCCCATACTAACTTTTATTCCTGGCTTTTGAAGTGCAGCTGCTTTGCGCGGCAGCTGCTGAAACGAGAGGGAGAGTGCAGGATTGCAGGAGGTGAGTCAGAATGCGTCTGCGCAAAGTGCACATTTGGTGCGCATGTGTAGGCAAAGTATGTGTGCGCACGTGCAAAGCGCGCCCACCAAGCCACGCCTACCGAACCGGTGGTAAAAATATTTGAAGCGCACCACTGCCTTGGCCCCATCTCTGCGTCGGACGCAGATCCCTCGTCCGAGCCCTCCCCCACACTCCAGGACTGGCCCATGTTCCTCCCCACTGTCTGACTCTGCTGCCAGCTCTGCAGGCCGCCGGTGGACCATAACAGTAGCATTTGCTGATTTTCCCATCCTTGTTTGGGATGGTGTTTCTCCATCAAGCCTCTGGGTCTTTCAAAGAATGGTAGGGAGAAGCAATTAGGCCTTTCTTTTTCCACAGCCAGGACTGAAAGCTTCAGGAAGAATTTTCTGCTCTGAACTGGGGCTCAGGACCTTTGCCCAAAGGCCCTGAGAGAATTGGAGCCAGAAGGGCATAGTTGGCAGTAACACCCTGCATATAGGAAATGAGCAGGCTGAGCCCGAGGCCAGGGTCAAATACATCATCAGTATGGAATCATTGCATTCCCACAAAGGACTGAAGTCTAGCCACCTGTGAATTCCATTGACTCTTACCTAGTGTCAATTTAGCTTTGACCATAAATAGATCAGATTCTTGGTATATAGGTAGCATGGAATCAGTGCTTTGCATTAAACTCCTGTTCCTGGTTACTTGTGCCTGACAGGTGTCCTTGTACATCTTCCAGGGCTGTTCTCCTCAACCACATAGTTTCACCTGGATTTATAGTAGTGCAATATCCCTTGTCACAACCTAGTGCAGAGTTAAACGGAGCAGGCTTAAATCCAGTCACTCACACTGAGCCAAGTCATGAAATGGTCACTCAATCCATGGCTCAGCTTTGGACTTCAACTGAATTAACTACTGATTGCTTTACAGAGAAACTGTAAACTTTGTTCTTCCTTCTCTCTCTCTCTCTCATCTCTCTGTCTGTCATCTCTCTCATCTCTCGTCTCTGTGTCTCTCTGTCTCTGTGTCTCTCTCTGTCTCTGTCTGTCTGTCTCTCTCTCTCATCTCTCTGTCTCTGTCTCTCTCTGTGTATGTGTCTCTCTGTGTGTATGTGTCTCTGCCTCTCTGTCTCTCTCTCTCTGCCTCTCTGTCTCTCTCTTATCTCTCTATCTCTGTCTCTCATTTTTTTTCTTTCATTTTAAAGATCTTAGGACTTCCACCATCTGATTTCATTCAAACTGCATCAAGAAAACGAACGTTCTTTGGTAAGCATTGATCATTACTGAACAATTCAATTAAGTGGCTATAATTATGATGGAAAAGTCTGCATTTATCCACCTATTATTTAATAGGAGGATGAAATATACCCCCACACACACACACTTCATCATGGCCAAACCTGTGGTGATGAAGTGGTTGGAATGCAGTATTGCAGACTTAATTCTGCCCTCCTCCAGGAGTTTGATCCTGCCTGGCTCAAGGTTGACTCAGCCTTCTGTCCTTCTGAGGTTGGTAAAATGAGGAACCAGATTGTTGGGGCAATATGCTGATTCTGTAAATCACTTAGAGCAGTAGTGGGATTCAAAAATTTTTACAACTGGTTCTGTGGGTGTGGCTTGGTGGGCGTGGCAGGGGAAAGATACTGCAAAATCTCCATTCCCACCCCACTCCTGGGGGAAGGATACTGCAAAATCCCCTTCCCACCCCACTAACCTGCTTTCCAGCTCCATTCTCCTTTGCAGGGCAACCAAAAGACCCAGCCAATCTGTGGGGACTCAATGGGAGGCAGAGAATAGATGGGGGCGGGGCCAGTCAGAGGTGGTATTTTCCGGTTCTCCGAACTACTCAAAATTTCCACTACTGGTTCTCCAGAACTGGTCAGAACCTGCTGAATCCCACCTCTGGCTTAGAGAGGGCTGTAAATCACTATGAAGCGATATACTGTATAAGTCTAAGTCCTATTGCTATAAACATAATATAAAATATATAAAGTGTAAGAGCTGTGGTGGCACAGTGATTAGAATGCACTACTGCATAAGTTTTCCAACTGCCAGCAGTTCAATCCTAACCAGCTCAAGGTTGACTCAGCCTTCCATCCTTCCAAGGTCAGTAAAATGAGGACCCAGATTGTTGGGGTCGATAGGCTGACGTTGTAAACTGCTTAGAGAGGGCAGTAAAGCTCTGTGAAGCGGTATATAAGTTTAAGTGCTATTGCTATTGCTATGCTATCTAAGCCGTGCAGGTGCTGTGCTTAGAACGCAGTATTGCAGGCTCACTCTGCCCACTGCCAGGAGTTCGATTCTCACTGGCTCAAAGTTGACTCAACTTCCCTCCTTCCGAGGTTGGTAAAAGGAGAACCCTGTTTGTTGGGGGCAATAGGCTGACTCTGTAAACTGCTTAGAGAGGGTTGTGAAGCATCATGAAGCAGTATATAAGTCTAAGTGCTGGTGCTATTTTACACAGATGGGCTATTTTGAATCCTACATGTTCACCTATCACTGTCACACCGTGAAGTGCAACAGATGCACTGAACAACTGGCACAAGCCAGAAAGTCCTACTTTGGGCCCAAGGCAGAAAAATATGGGTGGATGCTGCCACAAGGGACATTGTGTTTGTAGAAAAAAAATCTGATGCCCCTTTTGAATTTAGCATGCACTGTGTAAAAATTGGTACCCACCCCTATGCCTACAACAAATTAATTTTGTAATTAAGAATTCCTACTTGGTTGCCTGGCCATCTAGCTGTACAGGCAATTTCAGACAAACAAGTAAGGTTCAAGACTACAACATTTGCCCTCTCTGAACATGTGTATTTTCTTCTGTAAAGACTGACAGTTTGTGCAAACAGCTCCCAGTTTCACAATCTCAGCTGAATGTGGAAATGTACATAAGATCCAGGGGTGGGATTCAAATTTCTTAACAACTGGTTCTGTGGGCATGGCCTAATTTGTGGGTGTGGCTTGGTGGTCATGTGACTGGCTGAGCATGGCTTATATGTAAATATTGTAAATATTTATGTAAATATTGAATTTTTTTACTAAAAAAGAGCAACTTTTACCCAAAATCAGGCAAAGTAGGCAGGCAGATTGAGTTGCTCACAGAATCATAGATTCACTCAGAGATCTATCTTTCTGCAATCTGTTACCTGAGTCTGTTACATAAAATTTGCTTGCAAGCAAACTCACAAAATTAACTCACAACACACCGTGTATGTAAATATTGATATTTTTTTTGTATAAAAAGAGCAACTTGTACCCCAAATCAGGCAAAGCAGGCAGGCAGATTGAGTTACAGAATCACAGATTCATTCAGAGATCTACCTTTCTGCAATCTGCTACCTGAGTCTGCACTGAAAAATAGAAGCTTCAGTCCTAAGGAAGATTAACCTCTGCTTTTAGATTACTGTATATACTCGAGTATAAGCCTAGTTTTTCAGCCCATTTTTTGTGCTGAAAAAATCCCCCTCGGCTTATACTCGAGTCAGATTCCCCTCTGAAAAAAAAATGGTGTGGAGTCGCGGCCTCCGGCGGCAGCGACTCCCAACAGCCCCAGCCGGGAAGGGAAAGGCAAAAAGCGCTTTGCCTTTCCCTTCCCGAGGCGGCGGGACTGGGGCCGCGCCGGCGGTAGTGACTCCTGACTCAGGGGGCCTCCGAGGGAGGGGAAGAGAGTGACTCCTGCCTCCCGCTGTCATCATCATCTTCTTCTTTTGGGTTAGTGAATCAATTAAACCTTTCATGATAGTGAGATCGTTTCCCAAATTAATTATTTTTATTTTTGAAATTTACCAGTAGCTGCTGCATTTCCCACCCTCGGCTTATACTCGAGTCAATAAGTTTTCCCAGTTTTTTTGTGTAAAATTAGGTGCCTCGGCTTATATTCGGGTCGACTTATACTCGAGTATATACGGTAGCTAGAAAGCAAGAAATCTAACAATTTCCTGCTTTCTAGCTAATCTAAATCTCCTGGCACAGCAGAACAGTTGATGGTTGGGGGGGAAAAAGGAAAAATAGCAACTGAGCAGGCAAGTTTGATGGTGCGCATGCCAGGTAAGGAGAAAGTGGGCAGGGTGGGGTGGGACAGGTCCAGCCAGTGACACAATTTGCCAGTTCTCCAAACTGCACAGAATCATAACAACTGGTTCTATAGAACCGGTCCAACCAGGTAGAATCTCACCCCTGATAAAATCCGTTTTCCTCTTTTGTAGATTCCAACGGTGTTCCGAAAAGTGTCACAAACACAAGAGGGAAAATAAGGAACCCAAATTCTAAAGATCTGAGCGCCGTCTTGAAAACATACAATGGCACCTTTCTGGATTTTCTCAAGAAGTGCCTCGTGTGAGATTTTTTTTGAAAAAAGATTATTTTGCTAAATCCTGCTTTTATTTTCCCCTTTATGCTTTTAAAAAAAGAAATAACTGTAGAGAAACGGATCATTGTAGATGAGTTATTTTTGGATAGCTTAATTCCCCATTTGGTCAATTATCTTTGGAAATGGTTTGATAGGAAAATGCTATGGCAGTGATTTCCATGTTGCATTTGATGAGTGATTGGAAATTATATTAAATAGTCTTTCCTCTTTTGTAATAAAACTTCCCTGCTTGTCTTCCTGTGGATTTTGAAGAATTTTCTTGGAATATTCCATGTTCTTATATGGTCATATTGCTACTCCTTCCTTCCTTCCTTCCTTCCTTCCTTCCTTCCTTCCTTCCTTCC